ATTAACATGATATAGAAATGAAAGAAAGTTATAGTGCTTAGAAGGAGGCAATTCCGGGAGAAGTCCCTTAGGAATAAATTCGGAAAAATTAATTTCCGACCTCGCTGGGATTTCTCTATTAAGCGGTCGACTTTGGGAAAGACCAGGTGACCGCGTAACGGAGGTTGACCGTTTAATAAATGTGACATCTACTGTAAATATATATACGAGAATCCGGTTTTGGGAGATATGGCTGACCGCTTAATGGAGAGTGATCTTTACGTACCGTGTGCCCATCTTTTGCTTATTATGTGTCTTGTGGATTATACCACCTCCAAAAAATTCATTTTTGTGAAAATATTCCCTCTGTTTTTCCGTTATAGTAAGTAGTGATGGCTCAATCGTTTCGAAGGGAGACGACAGCTCTCACGGCTTTACCAACCAGGGACGATTTGAAGTGTTGCAGCTCAATAGTGTACCAACAACTGAAGGAAACTCCCAGCCAAACCAGCTACAGCCATCGTATATCATCCAATCTACCTCTATAGCTGGACAGACGTACATAATACAACAGCCTGCGTTAGTAGACAATGGAACGGTACAAGGAGAGCAGGTAGGACAAAACTTCGCTCTTCTTGCGGAGAACAACAACTAAACTCACCGACAAAAAAAGATAATTTTTACGCAATTACGCAACTTTTATCGATATCAAGGAATATTTTACGTCATTATGTGAGCTTTACTTTAGACTTTTATTTTTGAAAATAAATTGAGAACACCGTGGTAAACGTGTTTCTTGAGACGCTAAGTCCGCAACTTGTCCCACCTTTTAGTGCGAATAGACCTCGACAGTAGTATTTTCGTCTTTAGGTGCAGATATCTCCTCAAGGTGTTGTCATGACAGCTGTTCTTCATCCCCATCATGCTGTTCGGTGCTTACCGGAGGTTAATCCAGAACTCGCCCAAGCTATTGTACAAACTGACATCTCTGGGCCAATTGAGGCGACTCACTTGGTACAAACCGAACTTCCTGTAGACCAAACTCAAGAACAAATACAGGCAGGTTCAGAAATCTCAGAGCAAGTGCATTTAACAAGTCTTGCTTCTCAAGAATCTTTGATCAATGATTCTGGTAATCATGGTATTGAGGAGGACAGGGGGGATGTTCATGCTGAGGAGGTTGTAACTGCTGTGAGAGATATTACAACTGGGATGGTTACTGCTACAAACAACTCGCTTACTACACAGAGAAGTATCATTCATGAGGATAACAGCAATGAAGCTATCGTTAGCACCCATTATCAGCAAGGTATACTTTCTTTGTTGTATAGTTATTGAATTTCTGAAACTTTCANTGAGCTACTAGGCCAATAGAATGAGCCTATTTGGTCACATGCATGGACCTTTATATCTGATAAAACACTCCTTATTAGTATTCTTTATATAAAGAATACTAATAAGGGTGACCTTTATCAGATATAAAGGTCCATGACCCTAGCAAAGGTCTCAGGTTTGAAACCTGATCATTGACCAATGCAGGATGTCAACCGATTTCAGTGAACAGCCAAGAGTGGTTCTATTTTACTTTATGCGTATTCAATGTAGGATGACAAGAGTGCTTTGTAAAGTGATTCGCGCATGATCAGTTTGCCCCATTTATCTCTGAACATATTTGTACAGCAATTTCTCCAAGAATTTTAACGGATTTGAGTTTCAAATTAGTGTTGGAGTTTTTTAAGCCGTTTAAAACACTCAAGATCGTGTTTTATCAGGTATAAAGATTCTCGCCTTCGGCTCGAATCTTTATACCTGATAAAACATTCTCTCTTGTGTTTTAAACTATACATAATGTGATATATTTTATAAATGAAATTAAATACTGTCTGATGACATTATGGATTATGGATTAAATACTGTCTGATGAGTGCGTAGCACGAAACTCAGAGTTACAGCAAAATCTTGCCTCTTTGATATAATATATAATATAACTACTGTAGCTCTACACTTTATGTGTATTGAGCACTCTTTAATGGGATCAGCCACTTCCTCATACGATTATAAATGAAATAATTATTTCGCTAATACACTTTAATATGTTCACATGCATTGTTTTCTTTTGTGTCCATCTGACTATCACACTTAGACAAATTTTGTTTGACTGGCTTAATTATCTCACTTTAATAAAGGTCTAGGAGTTAAAACATATATTTTGTTCTTATTTTAGCCCAGAAAAGATTGGCGATTTAACCAAACAGATGTTTGGATACAATCTAGCTACAAAACAGACATCAAAGGAAGGAGTTCCAGTCAAAAAGGTATCATTTGGTTAGTAGGTAGATTATCACTTTGTGATAATAAGTAATTATATACCGATCACATTACATCATCTAGTCTTTTAAGTCATAGCGCGTGACGGATATTTGTCATTACTGTTACTGTTCGATTAGAGAGCATTAGCTAGCAAGTTTAGTATCGTCTTTTGCCCACCCACCCTTCCCTAGAGGGGTATTTTATTTACTTCGGTTCAGTCTTGCTTAGTGGTAGCGGTGATACCTCAATAAATATTTTAGCCAAACTCTGGTCTATATGTTGTTATTTATAATTACTGCTCTCCTCTGAGCTGTAGAAGAATAGCAAGACAGACTTCAAAGTAATTGAAACAAGTACAAATTATGTCAGTGAAATAAGTATGAAGTTCAAACAATTTTATAAAGTTATTGATTAATGAATGCTTGAGGAAAGGAGGAATTGAAAAAAATAAAATAAATACTGGAATAATGAATGATTAATGAATAAAGGAAATAATAATATGAATGAATGTACATTATATCATTGAATTAATTCTATGGATGACTACATCAGATATAAATGGATGACAAAACAAATTTCAGAATGAGGTAAATAAATGAATGAAAACTAATTGTAGGAATGAATAAGACATGAAAGAATACCTGAAAAAATAGAGGACAATACTCCTCCTTTCTCTAGTTTCTTCCATATTGATATGTTGAAGGYTACTTCTTTACTCCAGCAGTGACCATCCCTATAAGAGAAGTATATGAAACAAATAAATGGTGTTTTCGTTTTATAGGTTATGGTGGCAGAGGCTTATGACATTGATAAAGAGACATACCTTGCWATTCTAATGGACAGAGATCACAATGGTCCTGTTATAGTAGGCAGTCCTAAGGGGGGTATGGACATAGAGGAGGTAGCAAATGATACCCCAGAATTCATTTACAAGGTGAAATTTACAAACTACACTTATGAGTAGTAATTATACTACAGTATCAAATCTCTGGTTAAATATAGTATTACAGACAATGAATTGCCTTTAATTTTTTAGTCCTTGCTTAGCAGCCATATATGGTAAATCTTACCTTATTTAATAGTACAAGTGAACTCCTCTTGGCTAAAACTTGCAGCAAATATTACACTAGAGGAAAGACTTTCCAATGATCAACCATCTTGTTTCAATCCATATGGCTTTGATTCAGTAAAAGAAGACCAAAACCACATAGYACAGGGATCCCATAGAAATTGCAATCACAATTCATTTATGACAAACTTCAGCATTGATTTATAAAACTCTATTTAGGTCCCTGTAGATATTGTAAAGGGCCTTCAGGACAAAGATGCTAAGTGGTTGGCTGGAAAACTAGGGTTTACTGGACAATTAGAAGAGCAGGTAAATTAAGGCATGTCTACACTTGGTAATTATTGCTGCCTTTTTGGGGGGAGGGGGAGGGGGGGGGGCAATTTGTAAAAAATATAATCTATTTTGTCTCATCCTTCTGAGGGGACGTTTAGCTACATGTAGCTCATCTCAGTCTACTAAATAAAAATTTACAAATTAATTCAATTCACCATATTATTCTCTGGTATCAAGATGACCAAAATAATTGCCACAAAAATTGCCACTAAAATCACTAGTGTAAGGGGCCTCTAGATTTGTAGCCAAAAAACTTGTGAAAACAGAACCTATAAATTAGTTTTCAAGTCATGTAGATGCAAAGAAAATAGTGGAGTTACATTGTAGCAACTGCTAAGACATGTTTTCATAATTCCAATTTGTAACATTGCTGTAATCAAAATAAAGGAAGGTAATTTCTCACTTCTGCTGTGCGGTCACTTGCAGGCAATGGGTCAAATCAAGAAGCTGTACAAGCTTTTCCTTAAAGTAGATGCAACACAGATAGAAATTAATCCGTTTGGTTTGACTCCTGATGGAAAAGGTATCACACTTTGTTAAATRTAACATATTTTACTTTAATTRCTGAATAATTGTATTGTTCATTCATTAGTTGTGTGTTTTGACGCCAAGTTCAATTTTGATGACAATGCCAAGTTCCGCCAAAAAGACATCTTTGCCCAGGAAGACAACACTGAGACTGATCCTCGTGAGGTGCAAGCTGCTGAACATGATCTCAACTACATTGGAATGGATGGCAATATTGCATGTTTGGGTACTGCATATGATGTAAAACTATCATAGACTAATGTCCCATTTGTGTGAATATTTGATAACAAAAAAGAAATTGGACAGGCAAAGATATTGAGCTTTCAAAACTGTATTTATGCAAGAAATGTACTGTAGCTTGCAATCCATGCCCGGTGAGCCTTATTTTCATCATAAACATGAAGAAAATATGAAGCTTAAAAAATTCATATCCTTGTCAATTTTAGAGATATATTCTTTAAACTTTGAATCTTTATCACTAATGTTGTGATCAGTTTGATACTTCATTTCATTTTCATATTTATCAAGTATTTAAAAATGACATTTAACCGTGATAAAGGTCTATGAACTCCTTTAAAGTGTTGCCAGTCTCAATCGTTTTTGTGTATCATTTTTGCTAGTAAATGGTGCTGGTCTCGCCATGGCAACAATGGATATAATCAAGCTTCATGAAGGCGAACCATCCAATTTCCTTGACCTTGGTGGTGGTGTCAAAGCAGAGGGAGTTATACATAGTTTTAAAATTGTTAGTCAGGATCCCAGGGTAAGTAAAGCCAGCAAAATCCTGGCTCAAGAATACTCCATTTTACAGTTCCAAGCGCCATCTTGAAAGGTAGCTGAGACTATGAATCAAAGAGAGACAGAAGTTGAGTTTGCAATGATAGATACCTGTGAAAGATGGTCTTTKGTGTGAACAAAAGGTATCTATCACTGCAGGCTCAACTCCTGTCTCGCTGTGATGCAAAGGCTTGGTTACCTTTCAAGATGGCGATTGGAGCTATAATGCACTATTAAGAGGTATTAGTATATGATAAGGTTATTAAAGTTATATTCTTATTGGTTTTAGGTCAGAGTTATATTGGTTAATATATTTGCTGGTATCGTAGACTGCGCTGTTGTAGCAGAGGGCATTGTTTCAGCTTATGAAAAACTAAAACTCGATGTACCGATTGTTGTCAGATTAGAAGGTAGAGTGCTTCTTGTTCACGTAACTATTTTTGCATTGATCTGTATTTTTTCTATTGTTATTGATTGATTCTCCGTTCGTATGCGTTACTACAAAACTCTCATTAATYTATGATGTCACGTAAATTTGACGTCATAGAAATATATCGACGTCATCGAAAACTTTTGTTGAAACTTTTGGTTGAAGAATCGTGAAGAAACGAGATAAATAATTCATTGTCTGATTAAGCCAAGTCTTAAAGGCCCAGTTTGCACCAATGCTTTGCGCGCCTCTGTTATTGTTATGATTTACGCCAAAATACTTCTAGTATCCAAATATCACCATAAAACGAATGTCAGATGGTTAAAAAACACGGTTAAAAAGTGCTTAGAAAAGTGAGATGGTCAAAGATTCGAAACACAGTACAATTTATACACTTTCGGTAAAATGAAAATGGCCTCTCGCGGCCCCCAAAACATAATGGTGCACACTGGCCATTTAACGAATCTTTACATAGAGCAAAGATGGCATTTCTATTTTTTGCAATTTTTTAAAAATTGATTTGCATAATTTGACAGGGGCGCCATGGGTACACAGTGATTCCGCTCAAAAAACCGCACCTGATATCACACCCTTTTGCTTTCATATGTCAACTAGCAACGCTAACTTTATTATTTATTTATTTATTTTTATTTATTATTTTTCAGGAAATAATGTCGATAAAGCACAACATATATTGGAAGAAAGTGGTTTGCCTATCATCGCAGCTAAAGACATGGACGATGCAGCCATGAAGGCTGTTGTAAGTTTAGGAGATTAGTTTAGTGACAGTCAGATTAGTTAGAACTGAGCAGTTTGTAGAGCAGGGGTTCCTTTCAAGGGTACAGAGAAGCGAGCGTACTTTTTTAGGCAATGTGTAGCGATGCAGTATAGCAATGCTACACATTGCATGTTCTCTATATTTTTGAAATGCATTTGAGAGGAGCGCCTGCTTTGTGGAGCAGGTAGTAAGATTGAGTTTATAAAAACCTTATCTAAGGAATTTCATTATTTTTATTGAATAATCTCAACCTTAGACTGCGTAGTTAGTCGTTCTTGCCCGCTCCGAGGGAGTTTGGGGCGCAGATACACCMAGAAACCCTTGTGGGTTCTCTCGCCCCAAACCCCCTCGTAGCAACCAGGAACACCTGCCTACGCAAGCTAACCAAACCTCAGTAAATAAATTTTTGTTATTTTCAAGCAACTTTTTAATTTGAAATTATATACAATAAGCCCATTAAGGCTAAACAAAGCTTAGTTGGTTGTCTAAAATTGCAAATAAGTACATGGCATTAGTCATTCAAGTAATTGGACTTCAATAATTGGCTTTATGARACTTTGATATTACGAGTAGTACTAATCTATTTGTATTGAGACTGAAGCTGAAACACGTCTGGAAAAAGGATTTATTTTATKAAGTGCATAATATACTATATATAGTGGTTTTGTTTGTTTTTGGGAATGGTTTATAAGACGTGGAAAACTGAACCTCGAAGTTTTAGAGTTTAGACCAAAGGGGTCCGAATGTGATACCATTGTCCAAGCTGTTTTTATGCTACCTCTGGGTGTCATCTGTTTTGGATCAATGCATAGAAGGCTTTAATCTTATATTCTTTAATCAAAGAATACAAAAATCACGATTTTTACGTTCAATATGTTTGTTTTGAAGAATTCGAGATGAAAGTTTTTTTTGTAGTACTTTTATAGCAAAATGATAGGTAGGTAGTTCTGTTACAGAGAAAAAACTTAGTGAGCGAAAAAAATGGAATTGTTATAAGGATTGGATGGTTTGTAAAATAAAACGACGAAAATTATTATTTTAAATGTTTTCGTTTTTATTAAAAGTTATTGTTGACATCGCTTTTAAAACGTAAAGTAGCGACAAGATTTTAAGATCTTTGCTATCCCTTCGAGCAGAGGTAGTTTGTCTATCCTCCTTTTGGTATTAAAAACGGAAAGTACATGTATTGCAAACGTTCTCAATTGCCCTATTTCATTATGACGTCACAGTATGTTTACATYGGAAAACGATGCTCAAAAACAGCGGAAATTTGGACCCATTTATATTGTCGACTAAAGTAGAACTTCAGTGAATCGTGTTTTGATTTATATCATGTATAAATGATTGCTCATGTACATTTTATTTGATATGCAGTCACTCTGATCCCTTCTGGCGACCATAATCCTTAGCGTTAAAACAATAGAATGTTTTGATGTGACGTCATAATGAACTAGGGCAATTAACCACAAGTAATTACTTATTCACTCGTCAAACAGCTATGATTAATCATTCAATCTTGATTCCTGATCCCACCAATCATTTAATCACTCAATCATTCATTCACTCGTTCAACCATTCAATTCTGTCAATCATTTAATCTATCATTGCAAAGCGTGAAGGGTTTGAAGCATTGCAGCACAAGTGAGACAAGCGGCGCTATGCTCGTCGTTACTTGGACGAAAATTGCGAAACATTAGAAAAGACTTGGAAATCAAATAKACCTATCCATATGGGTGTAATAATSATGAAGCAACAGATTTCAAGAAAATATTGATGCAAATCCTTAATAATTTGGGCAAAAAATGTTGGAGTAGATGACGTCATTTACTCAATCCTTTTGTTCTTCCATCTTTTGAATCAAAATTTCTCTGATGTGGGATAATGATTCCAAGAAAATATTTTCCCGCAATTGTTTTTTTAAAATAGATATGAATGAGTCATATATTTGTATTGCTTGAAGTTTTGAAATAAGGCCATTTTCATGCAAGTAGCACTTTAATCTGCCCCACTTTCTCTCAATCCCATTTCCTTTTGTCACTTATTATGTTAAGAGATATGTTTGTTGTTTTTCTACAGYTGGCTTGTGGCGAGAAATCGTTTGGTCAGTACAGAATAGAATACATCGATGGGCTTGACTATTCACACAAGCAGTGAACATTTCCACATTCTTATACAAGACTTGTCATACAAAGTCCAACTATATTAGGGTATGGATTGTCAGTTCTATTCCTAATTCCTAATCCACGATGAATTTGACAGCCAGGGTATCCCACGGAGAACTGAATAACAATCCTACACATTGACTTATAGTTTGATAAGTTTGCTCAGAATTCCATCAGATATTGCCRAACAAAAAAGTAATACTGGTGCAGATGTTCAAAAGAGACAAAAAGTCATGWAGGGGGGCATTGCCATTTTAGCCACTTGTAGGAGACATAACGGCCGACATACATAGTTTGGCCTGGCTGTAAGAATTATTTTTGASAAAGAACATTTCAAAASATTTCAAATGGTTAGACTTAATCAYTCTTTCCAGCTTTTCCTCTTCAGTTTCTTGTGAACTTTTCAAAGATCGAGCAATAATTATTTGAACTCTCGAAGACTAATGGCAGGCATGCGCAAAAAACATTTAAAAGCGAGCACTAACCAAATATCAAAAGTAACGAGGAATCATTATATCCAACTTTTATATATTTTTCCTGGTTAGTATTGCTTTGTTTTTCCACTCATGGCAATCAACTATTATCTTAGTCTCGTTCCTAAAGAAAATTGTTCTGATGATTAGAATTTCTGGAGYCCCTGTTTCGCGCCAAAACGTCACAAGTGTCCCATAATGCTTTGGGATCCTAGGACTTCTCCCGCCTTGTGCACCCTATGGTTCCCAAAAAAAATTCATTTGAACCTAACAGCGAAGATTCACTTGCAACTAACAGCGAGTAGTTTCTTTTGTTAACCGCAAAAAAAAAAAAAAAAAAAAAAAAAAAAAACCAGACAAACAAACAAACAAAAACAACAAAAAACAAAACAAAAAGCAAACAAACAAACAAAAAGCAACAACAACAAAAAACAAAAATCCAACTGTAATTACATTATAAGTCTTTTTTAATCATTTGTTCGGATTTCTTTATACAAAGATATTTATACTAAAATATCCGATGATTAAGCATTGATTCATAATTCGCTGATAAAAATCATTCCACGAGAACTTATTCGATGTATGTAAAATGTTCGACTTAAATAAACTAAGATTTCTTTTCTACAAGTATATACTGAGTTTGTCGCCGAAATGCATTACTGGGATGGAATATATCCTTGATAACTGTTATTGATAAAATTATTTACAAYGAAGAAATTTACATGATAACGAACCACTAAATTGCATAAACTCTTCCAATCATTAACTATAATATACTACATGTTGTACTCTTAGGCGGTGAGGATATAGATCCATTCGATACTTGCTTCGAGTGCGATTGATTCTTGACACTTTCCTCGACTATTTTTGCTACTTTAACAACTGCTTTAGCCGCAGCATCACTATCTCCGTCCACAACAGCCTGTGCCACTTCCGCAGCRGCGGCAGCAGCCTTTACAGCTTCCGGTCTATTGTCAGCTTTAGAAATATGCTGCGCCGTCGCTCCAGCGACAGCGGCTGCAACAGCGCTAGCTGCCATGCGCTGAACCTGTTTCTCGGGATCCTCTTCAGGCTCCACAGTGTTGCCGGATTTTTGCTTCACTTCYGTGTCTACTTTTTCGTTTTCCTTGACGGACTGAATGTGTTGAGTACTTCCTTTAGGGGTTCTCAGTTGATGTTGGTGTAGAGTACCTTCGTGCTGTTCGTGGAAAGTGTTATCCGGGCTTACAGGAGGCTCCGGTGGGTGAATATCCCCGGTACCGTACAATATATCGTTGCACTGAGACACTAGCTTACTAAGCTGCYCCTGGTCGTATTGATGGGAAAGAGCTTCACCAGAACCCGCGTCAAAGTCGAGGCAAATAGCTTTCTCTTTGAGCAAGACCTCGAGGTCGTTGTCGGTTGGCCAACTTGTCTTATCGAAGAGTAATGCGATAACTGGTTTGTTGAATTCAAGAGCAAGGTTGGTGTCTTGCAAAGCACGAGACCACTTCAGGTAACTGAAAGTAAATCGATAAAATCGTTATATAAAACAAAAGCGATGTTATTTTCAATAGTGAACCGAACGGCTTTGTGGGTATTGAAATTAATGGATGACATATTTAGGCAACGTGTTTCTACGCTATTCTTTAGATCAAAGCATGATGGGAAATCTAGTCTTTATGGGTGCTTTCTATTTGTCAGAACTGGCTGGCCAGACCCAGTGAAAATGTAATTATATATCATTCCTTTTTAGTTAGGAAATTCAAATTTTCGAATTCTACCCATTATYGAAACGACTGAAAATGTTGACAAAAGGCATTTTGTACCTCTAAATAAAGCAGACTGGCCGGCCAGTTCTGCCTAAATGGAAAGCATCCTATGTTTGCCAGAATAATCCCTATTACTAGCTTTTGGTTTTGGTTTACATCAGAAGCATCAAAGCAACACGAAAGCGATTATGAGGATTATTAGACGAACATAAAAYAACGCGAGGACTACATATACCACAATGCTTAGCACGAGAAACCGCAGCTACACATTGCTTGTTAATTGGTTTGTTTCAAGGACAATGCAACAAGCCCATCATTTAAGATCGTTATTGAACAAGCCTTACTAGTAAACAGTAAGATCGAGAATTGCAATAAGTCGCTGGCGACAATAGTTTCCTTCAAGGTTCCCTGTGCCATCTTGAAAGGTAGCCGTGCCTTAAATTTGAATTGTGACAACCGTTGAGCGTGCAATGATGTAGAAACCTGTGAATAATAGCCGATTTGCATTATGGCGTCATTTACTACAACTACCAGAATGCTTTGCCAACTTT